GTTCATGGCTCATTAACGATGCAACTTTCTACAAATTTGATGTTTTATATCGATTGCCAATTTTTTTTTTTTTGGTAAATTAGAGGGGCATATACCATTGTAATTTATCATTTTTATTTGTGACTTTAATTGGCTTGTATGGCCAAGGTAGACTTTGTGTATGGGTGAAACATACCATTGTGATGTATTATTTGTGTGGGTTGGAGTAAATACCTTTGGTTCTCAAAACACTGGAATAATTGTATTTGAGCTGGTAAAGAGCTGTAGTTTTTGGTCCTTTTAATTTTGAGCTTAGACCACGTATTTATGCCCAATATAATGTTGGGCTAATTGAGCAAGTTCTTCTTTTTGAGTTCAATCCGACCACCTATTTTACCTTTTTTTTTTTTTGTACCCAGTTCATGGGCTTTCTTTCTTTCTTTCTTTATTTCTTTTTTTTTTTTTTGGGGAAAGGACAGGCTGAAAGACTGAGAGTTTACAAATAGGAACTACTAGGATGTTTGTCAGCCCAATAAAAGGACCGAGCACCCAATAGAGGATTCATGCATAGTGCTAAAGTCATCAGAAATATTAAAGTTGGCTTGATTAATACATATGCACGATTAAATTTTTAACTAAAAAATGTCATATTTCATATAAGAAATCAATTAATCTCATGAACTTTAATATTTCTGATGACTTTAACACTTTGCATGAATGTTTTGGAATTTTGATCATGTATCTGTTCTTAGTCGGAGCCGTGAGTTACTCATGAGATGGCTGTGACTGTGAGAAGCTTATTCACGTAGTTAAGGTTGTATGAGCAAAGGGTGAAAATCTGGCATTTTTAACATTTTGTTATTGTCCAATTTTCTATTCATTATAGTATTCAATCTTTTTTTGTTGAGATATTATAGTACTTAACTTAATACCTATGATGTACTGCTTTTTGCTTTAATTAATGTTTGAAATCGAACCCTGTTTCATCTTATTGTTCTAGTTACTACTAGCTTGAAATTGTAACATAATTGTTAATGGAAGCCTATGAATCTGACTCTGATGTATGGATTCTTAAGTGGAATGTTAATGACGGTCTTTCCTGCAGATACAATGATGAAGTTTGCTTCTTTTGAGACTATTGTCGAGTTGATCTATAAGCATGCCATCCCCACGCCAAAGAATGAGTGCAGTAAACCTCTGCAACTTGGTGTTAGTTTTGCTGGGGGATACATTGCTGGTGTATTTTGTGCTATTGTATCTCATCCTGCTGACAACCTCGTCTCCTTCCTGAACAATGCCAAGGGAGCTACAGTTGGTGACGTGAGTACTGGACTAATTATATTTTTTTTTCTGATAACAGGACTAATTAGATCTTATTGTGTTTCCACTGCTTTGACGAGTTTCTTAAACGTGTTCTACTGTCTAATGCAGGCTGTGAAGAAGCTTGGTTTGTGGGGTCTTTTCACCCGTGGACTCCCTCTCCGTATTGTTATGATCGGAACTCTCACTGGAGCTCAATGGGGAATATATGATGCTTTCAAAGTTTTCGTGGGGCTGTAAGTTCTCGAAAATTCTGACTGTTTTATTTATTTCAAGTTCTTTATCAAGAAGTACTGACGGAGTTCCTTGGTTCTTCAGGCCAACCACTGGTGGTGTTGCTCCTGCTGCCGCTCCTGCATCTCAGCTAGCCAAGGCTTAGAATCTCCAATGAAGCGAGATACGAGTTCATTTCTACCCCCTAGATCACTTAGAAAACCAACGCAAAGACCATAAATAAAGTAAGTGCTGAAGTTGCCTGAGTTAGCTCACGCTCGGTTGGTAATATTTTTTTCAATTTCAGACTTCTGTTACCAATTTTCATGTCTCGAGTAATTAATTCTTTTGGGATGGTTTTGCTCTCATCCTTAGTGCTGAACATTTTAGTTAGGGATGATATAGTTTTGCGTGTTAGAATCATTCATCCCATGGAAAATGGGATGCACATTTTCTTTCTAATCTCTGCAAAAGTATGGACACGTGCAATGCATAAATTGTGACTTTTTCCCCCTTGAACTATTTTATTGGATGTTCATGATTGAATTGTTCGGGGTATACACGTACGTTAAGATTCGGTTACTGAATTGAAAGTTCCATTCACACTTGGACGCAGGACGCAGATATGTTCCCAATTAAGCGGTTAATGAATGTATTGAACTTTCAGTCTTGCCAAGAATCATTTCGGACTCGATTTCTATTTACACATATTGACGCCTCTTGCCATCGTCGCCAATAGATGTCATGGATGTCCTATTCTCAGTTATACGCGTATATTGATAGGACGAGGGCTCCGCATGGGTGAATTTGGGCGGGGCAGGGTTACTCGGGTTTGGCTCAGCCTGACCCAAACAAGGTTGAATTTCGTAAAAGCTCAGCCTGAATTCATCCAGGTTTCGGATCGGCAAGCCGCCTATTTTTTCGCACGATTTCATCACTATTTTCACCTAATAGTATCAAAATAATGATTTTAAGTACATCAACAAACAATTCAAGTCCAAATCAAAAAGAACAATTCATTTGATGTTCAAATTCTAAAGTAACAATTCAAGTTCAATATGCTAATTTAAAATCTAAATTAAACAATCCCACAAAATTTCAGCCTTTGATTCATTTTTGTACTCACAGACAACGCGCAAGAGAGAAGGAGAGAGAAGAAAACCTCTTGAGCTCGTGGGTCCTAGCCATGGGAGTTGAGCGGATTGTAGAGAAGAAACAATGGTTGCCAAGCTGCCAAGCAAATATAGAGAAGATGGAGATGGTCGTTGAGCTGCCAAGCAGATGCAAAGATGACCGCCGAGCAAAGGTGAGAGGATTCGATGGCCAAGGGTTCTGTGCCAGGCGAGATAGTGATTTCAACTTTCTACGGCCGTGTCTTCCGACGTTATGTGCGAGACGCATGGTGAGAGAAAGATTTGAGACTAGGAGTACACTCATCTTAAGTTCAACAAAAGTAGAGATGAAAAATCGAGCAGGCTCAGCTCTTTAAGAGCAGAGGTTTTAAAACTTAATTTCTTAATTTTTGATTTAATCTTAAAGTTTGGTCTTTATTCGAAGAGCTTAGTGCCAAGCTCACAAGCCTGCTTTCAAAAAATAAAAAAATAAAAATATAAAAATTATAATTTAAGTAAAATATTCTAAAATTTAAAATAAAATAAATTAAGGTTTTACATCAAATAAGGATTTTAAGGTCAAAATTTAAGATGAAACTTAAAATCTTCATTAATCTAAATCTAAATCATTCTCATCCTCATCTAAAAATAGAATATTAGATTCTTCATATGTAGGTTTACTTGTTAAAAATAAAGGGTAAAGGTTCAATGTCAATTATCTCAGTAATTTTTTTTCATCACCTATAATAAATATTAATTAAATCATGTGATTATCAAATATATATATATATATATGTATATCATATGACAAAATATAAAAATTACCTTAAAATGGCATTAACTACGGGTACAAATTAATGCTTGTACATTATTTAGAAGAAGGTAAGCATGATACTTTGTTAGAACACGGAAGCTTATACTAAGTCGATTCACTAACTATTGTAATGATCGAAATACTTAAAATATCACTTGCCATACTTGACAGATTAGGAAATTATTGTTAATTAGTTTTTCACCAATACAACACATCTAATTCTAGAAACTAGTGTCCATCACGGGAAGTTTCCAAATAATAATCTAATTCAAATTTTTCAATGGAAGAAACATACCTACTCTTGAAATTAAGAAAATCTTACATTTAAAAAAATATGGTAAGTTTTTAGTTTCTTTCTAATTTTAAAAAATTATAACAGGGTTTGGAGTCAACTCTGGGCCCGAACTTCTTTTTAGGACTTATCAAGACTGAGCTTAAAAGCCCGGTTACCTTAAAAATCACCCATTTTTTAAGTTTGAAACCTTATTTAAACAGGGTCTCAAGGCTCGGCCTTTATTTTCAATTCTACAACCAAGACAATGATGACTAATGAGATAATAATGAGATCAATGAAGAAGGACAAAGGAAAGAGAAAGAGGGACTAGTGTTTGCATTTGCTCGAGTGAAAACTAAAGAGAAGCCACAACACAAGTGATGCGTTTAATGTGGCTGGCTTGTCGAGTGAAGGAGGCCCAAGACTGAACCCAAAAAAATGAAGAAAAGGGTAATCAGCCTAACCCAAATTTTATCAAACTTATTCAGGTAACTTGAATAAGCTTAATTTTTTGGCTTCACCCCAACCTTTTTAGAGTTTATTTGAATTTTGCCTGAATTACTGGTTCTAATGAAAATAGAAGACTAATCATGTTTTTATTAAAAAACACGTCAATTTTTTGCAGTTACGTAAATTCTTTTTGCAACAGAATTATTATGGCATCCTCATACCCAAGTTTTGGGCCCATATGATATTTAGAGAGAATCGGGCAGTTACCATATGAAAGAATTGATAGTAATACACGTCTTAAAGATTCTTCTAGCAAACAGTGTCGTACTGATGACCCTGATGCAAGAAGAAAACGCGATAGATTCCATGCTCAAGCAAAAAGGAGCAATGAAAAACTACTTCGTTGAATAATATGGGTAAAACACAGACGGGGCGGAGTCGTCCAAAGTCCAAGCCCCAGAACCAGAGGCATGACCTTCCACAACCTCTACATCGCTAGTTAGAATATCAACCTGGCAAAGCCTTGCAGATTCGGTAGATCTCCAACGGATCAAGCCTACTTACATGGATAGAACTTCTTTACTGATTGGATGCTGCTGTCCATCGAGATTAATACTTATAATTTATATAAGCTCACGGCAACATGTGTGTGTGCGTTCGTGTTTTCTGTGGTAACATAATAGCAGTTACTCGATTCGTACTAGTACAAATGTTTCTGGAACATCTTTTCCGGGAAAAAACCTTGTTACGGCCAACTCACAGAAAGAAATTCATCGTGGTGGTTCTTTTTGGATGTTACGGGGGTAAATCGACCTTGAGTTTGCTATGTAGCATAAAGTTAACAAAACATACAATAATTTAAAGGGGCATACCAAACGTCTAAAACTACCCAAATTTCATATCGCAGACGAGAAAGGCTGGTGAAATAACTTAAAAATACAAATTGCAAATGATCACCCTGGTCCCCAAACTCTGCACTAAAATTCACCAGTCCCTTCTTTTAAGTCTTAGTGCTCCAAACAATTAATGGAATTTGAACCAAATGTACTATATCTTAGATCGCCCTCCGGCATTATTGTTGTTCAAAGAAAAATACTTTATGGACTATGAAACATGAGATAGGCCCTTATTTTTTGAGCGCTCATACGAGATTGATAGTGAAGGATACGTACGGATGGCCATCAGAATCCCCTGCAAGACCGGTCATACCACCCCCTGCTTCATCCTCGATCTTCCAGTATGCACTGCAGATAATATCAAAGGGGCAAACTGAGCAGTTATTACACACATAAAGATAACAGATATGATGCAATAAACACCTAGTCTAGTCAATTTGCACAGAAGAACTTCACAAAAAGTGGTACGTGGATTAGTATAAAATGCCAAGGTCCATCAACTTCACCCATACACTTACAGCATACACAGAAATTAGATACTTGCCTGTTTGCACTGTCACACAAGCCTTCAAGTATAGAACGTACTTTCTTCTCACTTTTTGCAGACGGGGCTAAGACGGCTGCCTGCAATCGAGCAAGACCAATGGTAAATAAAGATTTTAAGAAACAAAAGTGATAGGCGGCAAATTTGTTAGGTCTAGAACAGTATCTGTACCAGGAAAGAAGGTGGCAGACCATATCTCAAAATGCTCTCGGTAAATACACGTATAGCGCAAAAGTGCATCCAAGAGCTGAAAACCTTCAGGCAGGAAAGCAAATATAACAAGTGAATACTTTCAGCATCTATAGTAATTGTGAAGGTAATAATAATTGCAAGACTTGTCAATTATTAATACATCTTATGACCTATGATTTTATGATGGCAGATAGCAAAATATTCAAGGCAAATAAGCTACAGAAAATTTGAACAAAAAAACTGAGTACTACTTCATAACGCTAGACTCTGGCTTGTCCAGCAACAGACACATCAAGGCGTATTCCATTATGTAGGTGGTTTCGCAATTGACTGCACTATTTTTTTCTACGATATCATTGGTTTCTCAAAACTCCTTGTAAGTTTTGCATTAAATAACTGAGGCGTATTTGCAAATTTAATGAAATAATGAACAAATGGATAATACCTCTCCATAACTTGTATAACACCATTGCAAAAGAATTCCTCTCGTGCTTTCCTGATCTTGCACCAACTTCTCTAGCTCCTGCTTCCGGCTATCATGTGTTTCTTGGCTGTACTCAAAATCACGAATCTAAAGGCAATGACAAATAGTAAGTCACTTAACACCTCCAATTGGCTCAAGATTCAATAAAGTACAACTTTGCATTAGGTGTCCAATGCATGCCTTGGTTAATAGTTATTAGTTCCTCAACAAAAATCTAAACAGAACTCTAAATCTTCCCAAGATTAATTTAGATTAACAGATGGGCACAAATAAGAAATTTATGGGCAGTACTTACTTGAAACCCCTTTTCACGTGCACTAGTCCTAAAATTGTCTGCAACACGTGTGAAGAGTGTTACAGTATAAAGAGCATACTCATTATCCTCATACAACAACTTGGAAGACCTGGGTACCTACAAAGTAAAATGTAATCAGAATAAGCACATCATGGCCCCAAAAAAAAAATAATAATAATAATATAGCAGCTCAGAAAGCATAAAACAAGTACAGAAACAATCAATTTGCAAATTATTGGACATTTTAGATAAACCATAGAGACCACTAATTATCAAAGAGGACAGAATTCAAATCACTAAATACAAAAATTTCAAGAAAGTAGCAGAAGAAATTCGACATTGTCAGTAAATATGGTAACTTTACCACATAGCTTGTCAATGTTTCATAGCTTGAGAGCCAGTCCTTTTGAGAATACTTAGGAACAATTGCAAGTAGGGTAGTTAAATGCTCTGATGTTATAATATCCTCGGGTTTTACCAGGTTGGAAAGATCACGAACAGCTAAGCTGAAATAGACAGAAGTTTATCAGCTAGATAAAAAATAAAACCAAATGGAAGCTACAATCAGCATTGAACTACATCTTCACCTTCCACTTTGCTTTCGGTTGATAGCATTTAGTTGACTGCGGATATTGTTATACTCAGCAACACGAACCTGACATATGACAGTCGTGAGGCCCAAACAATCAATTCAATATATATTGTAATTTATATGCATAAGAAAAAATACAAACTTTTTAAGCTTTCTCTAAAAATCATGCAGTTATTTTCAAATATGTGGATGATTAAAAATATTGAAATGATTGAATTTAGTGTGATTATGATTTCTTCCAGTTCAATTGCTCGTCTTACAGATGAACAAGTTAATTGGTGACTTAATAGCCTTTATTATATAGTTTACCATCTGAAACAGGTTTTAAATCACTACCATTTTTAGTTGCATGAGGGCCTTCAGACCACTTCTTCCTAATTGAGCATATGCGGGGAAAAGAACAAATGCCCAAGACAGATAGACCAGAGAAATTGATGTCAAAGCAGATAAGAATGCATAAGCAGATAGCTTATTCTTCCTCTAAAATGTTGGTGACTGCATTCCAAACAAGCCTTTTCCCCAAAAAAAAAAAAAAAAAAAAAAGATTGCCACATTCCGAAGTACCAACTCTGCCTTGCTAGCTTAAATCAACCCAGGAAAAGCGCATTTAGCATCCCTCAGCTAGCTGTTAGGCAGTAAGAAAATCAAGACGACTAAAAATCATCTTGAGTGAGTGATTTAGCACTAGAGAGACTAGGAACAGAACAAGCAAATTATAAGCTGCAATAGTGAATTGTCCTAAACTAGAAGATAGCCGCAACTAAAGAGCGGGAACAACATAAAAACCTTCAGATCATCCTCAATTTTTGCCACTTGACCGTGAATACCTTCCACAATCTCCTTCAAAGGCGACATAGTCGGGTACTTAGCTTCATCCCAAACAAACCTTCCACCAAAGGGACAGCTTCAGCACTCAACAAAAATATGACTGGAACAAGAACAGGTTAAATATTCAGTGATCAAGGTAATCAACCAATATACCTGGTCAAGTATGAATCGACTGGTACCCCATCAACCGTCAGCCCGCTGCTCACAACGCCAGAAACTTTCTCCAATTCCTCAATCTGTCGCCTGATCTTGTGTGACACTCCTTCCATGAAACTGTTTGCCTGCAAAAAAATTTAGCTTTGCATTTTAACACCCGCATAACACAATATCGGCACCAGAACTATGAATCAAGGAAATCATACAATTCATATAGAAGCACCGAAACAGGTAAAGACAAAAATCTCGCATCTGAAATCACAAACCCGACCAACCATAGATCTACAAATTAGTATTAGAGATTGGTAAACAACGTTAAGCTCAAAATTGTAGGAAATTCACCTTCACAAGATCATCGCTAAGAGAAAGAAGAGAATCTAGGGTTCCAACCCGGAGATTAGGTATATTGAACTGCAAATGAAATGAAGCAGGGTTAAAGGAAATTAAGCACTGTGAGGGCAGATCTTGAGAAAGAGAAGGATAGAGTACTCTATAAAGAGGAGTATCGAAGGAATGCTTGGAGATTTGTTCCTGCAATCGAGTCCAGAGAGCTGATGCCGAATTTTGAACGGGAAGAGAGACTACCCAGTATCTGGTCGCCATTGTAGCTCTGGGTTGGACCTCTGATCACAGAGGAGAGGGGAGAGAGAATGAGGGATAGTGAACAGGCCGTTGGTCTACTAAGCCGAGGAATAGAAATTATGCTCGTTTTTCACCCCAGCCCCGTTCCCCCCAGTGTTCTAGTTACCAAACAAGCGGTTAGAAGTTCCTTTCCTCCATCTCGACCGATTGGTTTTACCCCAAAAAAAAAACATTCATGAATTTAGCAGAGAAAGTCATTTATTTATTGCGATCCCACGCAGCTATCACGTTATAAGTCGAGTCCGGGTTCTTACAAGCTGGATCGATTTAAATAGTTGAATGTGCCTTAAAATAAATCTTTCTCCAATGATATGTGATAAATTCTCATTAATAATTAGAATAAAATTTCACAGTTGTACATTATACAAAATCTGGAAAATAAATCTTAGTATCACAATATGAATTCGACTGACAATAATTTTTGCATTTCATATCAATACCAATATTCATTGATAGATTAATATTGATATCTCTATTCTTTCACTGAAACTACATTTTTCCTTTTTGTATGCTATACCGTCTTTTTAAAAACAAAATAGAGCATCAGAGCATCAATTACTTCGCTCTACCATATGAGCAACCGAATTTAACATGCTGCTGCCGCTGCAGCAGACAGCACGACAGGCAGTAGGGCATCAATTTTTAGATTCCAGCCTGAGACGTCCTCCAAAAAATGGACTGAATAACATCCTAGTGAGTGCGTGACGGAAACAAGTAATTTTTTTTTTTAATAATCCGGAAACAACAAAATCTCTTTATGTATTGTCAACCCACTCTTGGAGAATAAAACCATTATTTACTCTGACATGAATTAATTTTTCCCCTACACGGTCTTACCCTCACCTTGTATCAAATAAAAATATCTATGTATTCTTGACTAAACGGATTATTTTTTCCCGCACTAATTTATAACTGAAAGTCACTGTTACATGCACTGTCAAGGGATTTCATATTAAAAAAAGGGCTCGCAAATGTGACTATGATTCACCCACCAATCAATAAAATTCCATTCTCCCATGTGATCCCTCATATACAAGCAAGTTCCAATTTCCAATGAATAAGCACAATACACAGGGACAATTACAGCTGCAACTATACAAATTATCTCATGACCAGACTGAGAGATGGATAGATTTCCCTACAACAGGGCAAATTCCCTTGCGTCTGAGGATAAATCTCGTGTTCTGCTGCTCCATCCAAGTCCAACGCTTCGGCGATGGCGGTAAAATTAAATACAAGCGCAGGGCGTACCGGTAGATTTTAAAAAACTACCCATGACAAATTGAAACAAAATCGCTTTCCATGGCTCCTGACTTCAATTACTCCTATTTTAGCTCGTAAGCAATAGCTTCTTCACTTAATCAGTCTTCCTATCCTTGCCCTCTGTCCGCTGCTTAACTGGCTCAGCAGGAAAGTATTTTATACCCACTAAATCACCAACTCTGCTGATAACCTATCAAGAAAAGGAACAAAATCAAAAAGTTAGAACAATAAACATAGAGCAGAAGAAACAAATTTTTGCAAGATGCAGGGGGCACCAACTAAAATGATAAAAAGCGTATTGGAACCGTCCATGGTAAAGACACTGCTCGTCATGCAACGAACCACAACAATTACCTCCACAAACAATTAAATGATGCATGCGGAATAAAAGTTACCACTGGGGTGAGAAACTAAGCATATACCTCCAAAGCTTTAATAAGGTCTTCCCTTGAATGAGAAGCAGATATGCATATGCGTGCTCTTGCTAACAGTAAGGGGGTTGCTGGAAATGCCACTGTCACAATGGCAACCTGAAACGGTAACATTCAGCAGTAGCAGGCTTTTAATAATGATAATGATAATAATCAAAACAAAAATGCATATTGCTGCCAATCAAATGGGTTAAATATGAACGAGGGGCGCAAATGGTTCAACATTCTCACATTCTGCTTAAGGCACTCCCTTGAGAAAGCAGGGATCTTGGCTGGGTTGTAGAGCATGATTGGCATTACTGGAGAATCATTATCCCCAAGGACCTCAAATCCCATCTTTTGCAGTTCTGACCTGAAGAAATTGCTGTTGTCACGAATTTGCGCAAGTTTCTTGGCACCTATATTAAAACAAGAAGCTTCAGGAAAAAATTCAAAGCAGACAGGTGAAGAAATAACAGAAGTGCCCATCAAACCTCTGTTGGAGCCATCCTCTCCAAGAATGACTTTTATGGCAGATATTATTTGTTGCGCAGCTGGTGGTGAAATTGAAGTTGCATAAAGATGAGCAGGGCAAGTGTACTTCAAGTATTGGATAAGTTCCTGATCAGAGTTCCAAAATCTCATAATAAGAATTGCGCTTCAATTGTAAGATTTAAAATATTAAAAAAAAAATCAAAAGCTTCAGTATACTGTGATGAACATTGCCAAAAAGCAATCTGAAACATTAGCAGTGCAAAACAAATGGTCTTCTGCAAGTAAACTCCAAAATCACTCTAACCTCCACATGTAAAGACGATAATGTTCTATAAGCAACTTTGAAATCAATTCCAAACGACTTCAGTTGCATGAATCTAACACTCTAAAGTTCCCTCCCATTCCAAAACTCTTGACTTCTATATGTTAATTCATATTTCTCTTCAGATACAATCAAAGCATTCTGCAACTAAATGACAATGCTGGTTCACATGAAAAGAAAAAAGTTATAGTCCATGAGATAAAATTTTCAGAACAACTCTTCCTAGTCTTTTTTTAGTGTGATATTTTAAGGGTACAAACCTTAGATCCTGCAATGTATCCCCCACATGATCCAAAGGATTTGGTGAATGTCCCCATCATAATGTCAACATCAGCAGTATCCACGCCTAAGAGCTCACAAACACCTCTACCTGTCTTGCCCACTGCTCCAATGCTGTGTGCCTCATCCAAATAAGTATATGCCTACAAAGCAACCAAAAGAAGAAGAATGTAAAAGGAAACTGGCAAAAGCAATTGTCAGTATATGCCTATCAAGCAATCTGGATTCTCATCCCTCATTCTGGATTCATTCATTTTAGATTATATCGGCTCAAACTTTTAAAGTTTGGATGCAATAAGCGTTTTACAACTCCAACAATTTGCATGGACACAAACCAATTATAATAGATTCTTTCCTAGCATTTACTGCAAGCCTCATACCCATACAGCATTATAACAAATTAAGCATTTTTAAAAGCGAAATAACCCAACATATACCACCTCCCTCATCTAAAGTGAAAAGGCATGTGGAAAACAAAAACAAAGGGATGACAAAATTGCACATTAGATCAGAGCTACTACATCAACCAACCTTATATTTTTTGCATATTGCTATGACCTCTGGAAGTTTACAAAACTCCCCTTCCATGCTGTAAATCCCTTCCACAATGACAATTATCTTCTTCCAAGGCCTATGGGTCCTTGGCTGTCCCTCTGCAATTTGTTCTCTTAAAACCTCTTCAAGGTGAGATGGTACTACAGGAAAGAAAGTCAAAGAGAGCGTGAACGAAATAATACAAAAAATTCCAAGAACACCAAAACATTAACGCAGCTACACAGCTACAGGAGGGTGAATAGGTAAAAAATAAAACGCAGAAGCCAAATCCACAATAAGAATTTCCAAAGAAAACCTTTTGTGTTCATAGATATAGGCAAACTGCAGTCTTTTCTTTCTGAGAAGTGGTGGGAAGGGGGGTCAACCCAAAGAATTTCAAGTCTCAAATTCTTTATACAGCATGAAACACATGTCACCATGTAGAATCCAAATAACCAAGATTTATTATAATCCATAGAAGATGATATAGAACAGGACAGCAGTCACAATTATAAATCCCAACTGAACCCATAATACTTTCCTATCAGAATGAGAGAGATGCTGCTAATAGCCAACAAACTTTGTATCCAGAAATTGAAAAACTGACCATTCATTCCCTAATCAAAATTGTTTACTTCGGTAAGAAGCAAAGCCACTTACTGTTGTGTTGAAAAACACGAATAGTAGCTCCAGATCCTCGTGCACCATTGACAATGGAGTTGTGGTTCAATGAATCGCTGATGATTAAGCTTCCCTATAAAATGTAGACATATAAACTAATAATTATGTGGATATCCTTGATGTGCCAACAAGGAGACCTCTCTAAACATCTTACAGACCTTCCCCACCAGGACCGGAAGAATAGCAGAGTTTGTCACATAGCCCATACCAAAAACCAGAGCTGCCGGCTTTCCAACAAAGTTTGCAACACACTCCTCGAGTTCATTATGTAATGCAGTTGTGCCTATTAGAGAAACCACAGTTGAGGAAACCTGATTGAATATTTGCATGGATAAGCAAAGAGAATTTTGTTTGTTGGCCATTTATGAACTAATATCCTTACCCCCATCCACCCGACTGCTGCAAGTACTTGGAGAATACTTCTTCAATGACTCAACTACCCGGGGTGTGCAGTATTCATCTGCTGCCGCAAAGCCAAGATAGTTGTATGATCCCAAGTTGAGGCATCTGCTAACTTTTTCTGTTCTTCTGTACTTGGACAAATGAAATGATTACAAATAAGTACCTTATGATAGCGTAGTTCTGAAGAAACAAATTTGAGGAACAAAAATTAAGATATCCAAAAAACAAGAATAGGCATAAAAATTATAAAAAGAATTGTACTTCAGTGTCTTGTTATTATCATTTGAATAGCGTTCAACAACGTCAAACCAAGCATCAGGAGCACTTGCTATTGGTCTGCCAAAGCAGTCCTGTCAAAAGAGAACTTTTCATGAGACAGATAGTTAAATAAAGACTACCCACAAACTTGTAGTGTAGATACGTTTACTAATTTTATTGCAACTGTTTTAGTACACAAAAATAATGACGAACTTCAATTCGTTTTTATTTTTTAAAAGAAAGAGTGTTCAAGCATCCAACTTCGAGGGCAGAGCGTTCCAAACGTTGGTTCACCTAATAACGAATTTGTTAGTAACATTACTCCATAATCAGCGCTCAAGCAACTTCAAGCTATAATGTATCTCGTAAAACACGAATCCAACCATTGAAAGAATCCAAGATGAGGCCAGAATAGCGTCTATCTATATTCAAGATAACATTAACACTGCGCAGCAAATTAGTATAGAGATGAA